CCTAGCACAATGTCTAACACAGCGCGAGAACAAATATAATAGAGGGTAATGCCAGCACAAATCTTGAGAAAACCAACTAAAAATGAGCATATAACTGTGCCTGAGCAAGTAAAACCAATTACCTTTCTCATTCCTTTCTCGTACAGGAATTTCCCCAGCTTTTTACAAAGCAGTGAGAGCATCTTACCGACACGGTGCAGAAAAACAATATTCAGAGGAATTCCAAACAGAGCAAAAAACACACAGAAGATCTGTCCCCCAGCAGTTTTAGGATGTAGCGTCCCATAGCCTGTGAAAAAAAGATGGGTCAGAGGAAATATCCCAGAGAACTGGAGCATTGCATGGCCACACTCACACCTACCCCAACCTGGCCTGCCTTTGATCCCAAAAGATGTAGCTAATACTTCTCAGGTCCCATGAACTCTTTTTGCTCTGAAATGGCAGTAAGCAGATGAAGTGGTTCACCATGCACGTTTTGGAGGATGCAGAGAGCAGTGTGTGTTCCCAACCTGGCCTTAGTGGGAATGAAAGCACAATCTAAAAGCAGTTATGGAAAACAAGTTCTGTCTTGTCATAAATACATGGAAAGACAGAAACCAGAAGTCTGGGGACCTGGAAGACATCAAGGCTGGAGTCCCAGGCTGTTTGCCATGTCAGAATCACAAATAGCCATCTTTAGCTTCTTGTTGATCTGCCTGTGTGTTAGTGACCTCCCTGGCTAAATGCCAGTAAGTTGTTATGTCCAGATACTGGCTCCAGTCCTAGAGGCAGTGCAGTATGCATTAGAATAGATGATGCTAATTAATCCAGACCTTACTGGTGGCTGATTTACTCATGCCAGAGAGATATTTGTCTTAAAGTCCTACTAAAAGAGGATTTATCTGAGTTGTGGAACAACAACTGCAGAACTACAAACATGTCCTTTAACCGACTGGAGATTTTGTGCCTCTTAGACCCCATGAGGTACATCCCTGAGTGCAAGACTCCTGTACTTTGTATATGTCCTTACTCTATTAGTGACCCTGAGAAAAGACACTTTCCCAAGCACAGTTCATCTCAGGGCATCCATTACTTGGAAAATGCAATGTTTGCTTTGGGGGAAAAGATAAATAAAGCAACTAAGTGATTTATTGGGCTATTGGGCCCCCAAATTCTTGAGCTGTATTGTGCTCCCTGTTGCAGAAATACCCTATTTTCATGACAAAACCTGTTGAAGACAAGTGGAAGTGGCTCGTTCACAAGATGTCTGTGGTGAAGGTGCAGAGAAACAAGCAAAGTTGCACTTTTCCTGAGGCAGCCTGTCTGCCTGTGCTGGTTTTGGCTGGGATAGAGTCAATTCTTCACAGTAGCTAGTATGGGGCTTTGTTTTGGATTTGTGCTGAAAACAGTGCTGATAATACAGGGATGTTTTTGTTATCGTTGAGCAACGCTTACACAGAGTCAAGGCCTCTTCTGCTTCTCACCCCACCAGTGAGATTGGAGATGCACAAGAAGTTGGGAGGGAACACAGCTGGGACAGCTGACCCCAACTGACCAAAGGGATATCCCACACCGTATGACATCATGTTCAGCATATAAAGCTGGGGGAAGAAGAAGGAAGGAGGGGATGTTTGGAGTGATGGAGCCCTGCTTTCCTGGAGATGGCTGAACACCTGCTTGCTCGTGGGAAGTGGTGAATTAATTCCTTGCTCTGCTTTGTTTGCACAGGCAGCTTTTGCTTTACCTATTAAACTGTCTTTATCTCAGCCCATGAGTTTTCTCACTTTTACCCTTCTGATTCTCTTCCCTATCCCACTCGGGGAGAGTGAGCAAGAGGCTGTGTGGTGCTTAGTTGCTGGATGGGTTAAACCATGACATGGTGCCCAACATGGGGCTCAATGAGTTTGTAATAACTACAGATTTGATTGGATTTTTCTAGATTGAATTTACAGCTGTTATTGCTGTTAGCCAGGGCATCACTGCTCTTTCTGTGCTGCTGTACTGGCTGGGCTGGAATACCAGTATGAAGTCCAGTGGAAGAGACTGTGACCTGTGAGGGCCCTTGTGAGATGCCACACTCACAGATCAGTGGAACAGCTGTACCTTGGGTGTATTGGGAGAGAGACCTCAACTTCACTCTGCAAAAACATAGATTTGACTTTCACTGCATGAGAGTGTGAAGCAGGAGTCAATAGTGTGAATTTTATGTTTAAATTTGGCAGGCCTGCACCTTTTGGGATGCATATTTGAGAGAAAGGGAGAAGCAGGCAGGGGCAGGCAGCGCCTGACAAGTTCAGAACAGCTTGAAGCAGCAGTGTAAAAGTCTCAGCATTTGCCTTACCCCTTCCCATTTTTTTTCCTCCTGGCATATTACTAATTCAACATGTGCACTAACAGCTCAGCACAGGTTATTGAGACAGTGTCCATGCTCCAGCGAGTTAACTTCTTTCCTACCATTCCTTTATGCTTTACAGCACTCTCAGATTTAAAGCTTATTTGACCCTACAATAAAGACCAGGAAAGTGAAGTTTATCTCCCACCCACAATAGGCAGCAGAACGAACATTTTAACAGATGGCTTGAAAAGAAGAGCCAAGTGGGAAATGATATGAAAGACCATTGGTATTTCACAAGCCAAAATAATGCATTAAGAGCTGTGCTGTGGTGAGGTCTCAGGATCAAGTCCACTGCTGCTTATTATCCACAACAATGAAGTTGGAGAGATTAGCTGGAGTTTTTATCCTTGAAAGTATTACTAATTGAGGTTCTAATAACCAGACACAATAAGCATCACAAACACACATACATGGAAAGTGTCAGACCTACCTATTGTAGAGACAACTGTGCCTGCAAAGAAGAAGGAGTTACTGAAATCCCAGTTGCTGTCTTCAATCTGTGATTCATTTCCAACAGGGTATACTCCATTCTGAATGGCTTCTGTCAGGTTCTGGGAGGGAAAGCAAAGCTTGGTATCAACATATCTGCTTTTCTCAAGTGCTTCCTGCACGAGTACTATAGATTAAGGTAACTACCGCTCCTTTCCTGTGAATACCACTCACCTGTCCTCAGCAATACCTGACACTAATTACACCTTTACCTCCAAGGTGGGGTAGCAGACAGCTGGTGGTTTTGAGTGTTAGTATTTTGCCCCATTTATGCTGACTGCTCTAGTGAGTGTTAAAGGATCTTTTTTGTTTTAGCATGATCAAGGACCTCGATTCTTCTAGACTAAGTACTTTTGGGAAAAATGATCCTATAGATGACTAGGATGTGGCAGAGCAAGATAGCCCACTGGCTTAAGTGATGGGGTGGCTTTGAGTTTGCCCTTGAGATGGCAGTGGTGGATCCAGGATTTAATCACTCACCTGTATGCAGGTGCACTGAGCAGTGACTCTGATCCCTCCCAGGAGGGCATCAGTGAGTTATAGCAGGGTACAGGTGACATACACAGAGAATTTAATGTGGAGGCTGTATTCTGATTAGTGTCACAGATCTAAATTCAGATAAAGTCCATTGATTTGCAAAGCATTACTCTTGGTGCGACCACAAGCAGAATTCAGCCTGACATGTACACTCTTCTCCAAACTGCATGCATGGACACACATGCACATATTCACAATCTGGCCTTTGAGATTGGGTTAGATGAACATCTGTCAGAGATGGTTTGGGTTGAGTTGAGACTGCCCTGCCACAGGGGATTTGACTAGATGTTTCTCCCAGGCCTCCCCAGACCTATCATTTATCATGTTATGCATTTTTAGATTCTTCCCTTCCTCCTTGGTTTTAATTCTAAGTGCTGTTAATTTATTTTTAACCTTAAAAAAAATAGAAAAACCTAACAGTAGCCAGTTATTTCTGCCTTTAGAAAACAGAGAACATTGGACTGAACATCTAGGAGATAGGCTGGTTTATACAGAAACAGCCTAGATAAAACCCAGGGCTGAGCCCTGCCAGAGGCAAGACACAAGCTGGAATAAACTGCACCAGAAAAATCTTCCCCCCACTTCCTCCCTCACTTATCTTTTTTGCTGGTGTCCTAGAAAATCAAGGCTAAAAGAAATCATTCCACAGCCCTTGCACAAAAATTTCATTGTCTTGAAAATTCCCTCTTTTTTTTCCTCCTACCCACAAAATAAAATCCAAAATTCAGAGAGTGCACACATATGTGACCTGGGGGCTGGATTGCTGGTTGTGTTATTAGAAATACCAGTTCTTTCCCTCCTTTCCTTATCCTGCGAACTGGCCCATTAAGAGCTCCGTTAGTTTCCCGTGTGGAAATGCTTACAGGAAGGCTATGTTCACTCCCCGTTTTCTTCTGCACTGTAGCAGACAGAGCTAGGAAATACTGACGATGAAGAGACAACCATGCTCATTCTCAGCTTTCTGTGCCATGACTAGAAACGCCTTTCCCTTGGCCAAGATACCTGTTACATTTCTTCAGCATCTTCACAAAGTAAACCCTGACTATGCCACCCTTCTTAGAGTTAATTTGGGTTTCTTTTTATTTTTGTCCAACAGATTATTTCAGGCCTTGCCATATTGTTCCTTTGTGCTAACTGCGTGTGATGGTTTCACTGGACTAGCC